GGAAGGAAGGAAGGAAGGAAGGAAGGAAGGAAGGAAGGAAGGAAGGAAGGAAGGAAGGAAGGAAGGAAAAAAGAAAAATAGTTATTTTGTTGTTGTTATTCCCTTTTTAGGTGAGGAGAAGGAAGGACTGTGGAGCAAGTAGCCCCTAAGGAATAAGAGAAATGGGGCAAAGAAAGGAATGAAGCCAGAAAGTATCTAGAACCATAACAACTGACCCAACAAATACTGTTGTCTACTGTGGAAGGTTAGTGAGTGAGCACCTCAGTTTATACTGAAGTATACAGCTGCTTTCATATTCTTTCTCAAATGATTGTTGACCCTGCCAATCGACATTCCCAAACCAAAGACATGCTGTCTATAAAATTCTCCCTTCCCAGTAAGTATATGCCTGGACTACAGAGATTCCTATATACTCAACACATCAATAAGGAACCTGGAAGGGGTGGACAGTTTAAGAACTACTATGTACAGGGGAGTCTGAGGCAGGAAGATCACCACAAGTTCAAGGCCAACCTGGGATACTGTGAGTTCAAGAACAGCCTGAACTGTATAGCAAGACCCTATCTTTAACCCAAAAAAAAAAAAAAAAAACCTGCTAGAAAAACTGCTGGTGAGTTCAACTTGTCTGGAACTAAGATTCTGTACAGGCAACAATCCCAGCACATTTCTTAGGATGTATTTTTTACCTTTAACAAGAAAAAAAAGTTCTTGCTGGGCATGGTGGTACACACCTGTAATCCCAGCACTTGGTAGGCTGACGCAGGAGGATTGTTTCGAGGCCGAGTTCACAGGTAGCCTGTGCTACATAAGTGAACTGCACAGTGAGACCCTGTCTCAAAAAGATCAAAACGTTCTTACCCCTACTTCATAATTTAGACTTTAGTCTGTTATAAAAGAACCAAATTACATTGACATAAAAACTAAATGACACTTTCTAAAACATTAAGCATTTGACAAGGTATTGCGGGGGGAGACCTAGCACTAACAGGTGACTGATGATGAGACCTATATCATCAAAACCTGCATCAGCAGAGTTAATGGGGTCAGAGCAAACTGACCTGTGTTGTAACAGTTACTCTGACAAAGATTCAGAGGGAGGGAAGTTGACTGAGGACTATCCAAAGTATAAAATGCTGATGTTTGGAAATGCCAAAAGGACAAAATAAAAAGCCACAGAGTATTATGAACATGTTTTCCTTCCCTGCTAAAATAGAACAGGGCAAGGAAAACTAAACCCTGTTCTTTCTATGGACCCGAGGCACTGTTCAGGCTCCCTTCTCATTTCCTAATATCCAGACAGAGGGTGCCACTGTCCCTGGGGAAATCAGCTATTGCCCACCAATCTTCAAACCACTACATAAGCCAGGTGTGGTGACACACACCTGTAATCCCAGCATTTAGGAGGCTGAGGCAGGAGGATCAGTGCAAATTTGAGGCCGTGTGAACTACACAGGGACATCAAGGCCAGCCTGAACTGTGTGGCAAAATCCTGTCTCAAAAGGCAAATAAAAACAAGAGCACTACAGAATAAACTGGTTCACCAATTAATGTTCAGTTTAAAGGTATTTAACAAATGTTAAATATACCATTCTTTCACAGTTGACATTATATATCAAGCAGTAAATCCTTTGTTGAAATCATAATTTCACTTGCAATAATAGTCAAATGCAACCAATCCGTAGCTATACTACAAGGCCAAGAATAGACAGGGTGTAAATCTGAATCATCTGAAAATTTAAACTTATATAAATAAGATGCCACTTTTTTTGAGGTATATGCACTAAAAACACAGTAAAAAAACTTTTTGACTATTTCCAAGTCCATTAACATATATTCAAATAATTTAAAATGTATTTGCTATTCAGGAGAACATGGCAAGATACTGATTATAAACCTTTTGGTTTAGTTTTTGAGGTAGGGTCTTGCTCTGTAGTCTAGGTCAGCCTTAAACTGGTATCTAGCCCGGGCTGGCCTCCAACTCCCAATCTACTTGCCTCCGCCTCCTGAGTGTACAGGCATGTGCCACCACTCCCAGGTCTACAAACTTTTTAAAATCCTATTAATAGCCAGGAATATAGCTCGGTGGCACAGAGCCTGCCTGACAAGCATGAGGTCGTGAGTTCCATTCCTGGCACCAAAAAAATAGAATTAAAATACAATTTTTGATAGGAGAGAAAGAATTATTATAGCATAACATGCCTAGTAAATTAAGGATATCTTTAAAAACTCATACCGTTTATCTTATACTATATACTACAATCAAGCTGACTTACAATTTACTTAACATGATCATTTAATAAATTATAATATGCTTACTTCTCAATGGAATCAACCTGACAATTTAAATGATTCAATGAAAACAGAAAACATGGCCTCAGAAATCCTGTATCAGTTTACTTTTGAAACAAGGTCTCACTATGTAGCCCTGGCTGGCCTCAAACTCATGGCAAGCCTCCTGCCTCAGCCTCCTGAGTGCTGGAATTACAGGTGTACATGACCGCACCAAGAAGTAACACCAGGTTTTAAACTTTGAGCTTCTTGAGGCAACCTTAAACAAGTTATTTAATTCAACCAAATGTTTACTGTGTTGTACTGGATGGCAGGCACTGCGCTCACACTTGGAAATAGAAGGCAACTCATGGTTCCTGCTATTAATTAGTTAGGGAAGAAAAGCAGATATAAACACAGCCCCTGAAGTTCCTGAAAACAATGTTCGCATAGCACGCATTTGTTGAGAGTAAGTATGTTACACTGACCTACAGCCCAAGGATAAAGGGAACCAAAAGTGAAAGGCAGGGTCCTGTGACACTACTGTATTTTAGAAAATAAAGAAAAACTGGCCTTTTTCATAGAAAGCCTGTTTCTCTAAGTATGCAGGCATGTGCATAATCATTTACCTCAAAACCATTTATCTCAACAGAAAAAAATTAAAAATTAATGAAACCTGAATGTGCAATTCCTCCCAATTATCCCCAGAGTTGACAAAAGCAGAACACCATGAGTTTATAA